AGTTCCCTGTGAACGGAAGGGCCCTTTCAAAGATTCCATTTCACCTGACCTCTTTGCACCATCTGATTGTGTTGACCAGACCTCTTCCTCTAGCCTCACTCATTTCCATGTTCTCCACAGTCTGAGATACATTGATTTTCCCTTTCTCTCTGTCTGGTTGTTCCTTCTTATAAGTGTAACTTACATAGCTCTGCAGGGTGCTACAAAGTGTATTCACAGACACTGCTTTATGGGCATTGCTATTATTGTAATCCCTGTTTTACAAATGAAGAAACTAAGGCACATAAAGGTCAAATAACTTGACCAAGGTTACACAGCTAATAAATGACAGAACCAAGATTTGAACTTGGGTAGTCTGGCCCATAATCTATGCTGTTAACTTCTTTACCTTTCCCCAATCTCCTATTCGCCTATAACATTAATTTTTCTTGTGAGGTATTTCACTGCTTACAGTGGGTTACCAATACTGAGGCAAACTGTAGATAAAGCTGGATTAAGAAGAGAATTTATTTAGCAATATTGTATTTTATGTAGATTATTTGAGAGGAATACTAGGCACTTCACTCTGAAATTACTTGGTTCACTTTAACAAAATCTTAAGAAAGGGAACTCTTATTAAATACCCATTGCAGGTGAGTTGTGTTTTTTTTGTTTTGTTTTGTTTGTTTGGGTTTGGTTTTTGCTGTGTTTTCTGCCACAGTATCTCTTTGAATCCCCATACTAACCTGTATGGTTAGATATAGTTACTCTTTCATTACAGAGAGGAAGCAGGATGGAGAATTTAAGGCACATTAGGGTGACATCTATGATGGTTCTTGGGTCAGATAGACTCAAATTCAAATCCTGCTTTGGTGCTTACTAGCTTTGTAATCTAGCAAGTTCCTTTAACTCACAAAAGCCTCTGTTCTCTCCTCTGTAAAACAGAATTCATGTTACTACTTACCTCAGAAAATGTTGTGAGAATGAAATGAGATTATACCTGCAAAGTACTTGGCACATGGTGGGTGCTCAGTACATGGTAGTGGTCACTGGTCACTGGTGCTGCCCAGGTTCAGAAACTAGGGGGCCATTTTGGGAAGTTGAAACTATGTGTCTGGACCTCCGAAGGCTGTATTTTATGATGTCTGGCTCAAGGCCTAGGAGCCAATTATGCACAGGTGAAGTTATTTTTAACCTCTTTCCAAAGGATGCTATTTTAATCCAAGTTGTTATTGGAATTCATTCTAATTTCTTTTCTTCTTAGACCCCTTGTACCTGTCTAATAACTTACACAAAATGAGGAAGGGCTTTAAAGAGAAGGGTATCCACCTCTCCCAACACATACACACAGACATGTATATATGCCATCCTAGGGACTGTCCCAGTAAAAGTGGCAGAAGGTGCATTGTAGCAGGGATGGGAAAGGTGCAAGATTTACTGAATCAGAGTCTTTGGGCAGGGCTCTCTGATGACTATGAGATGACCTTGGTCTTAGAATCCCTCGTGAAGAGTCAAGAGCATTCAGACACTGGCTTGAATCTTAGCTAAAATACTTACAGCCTACATGACACTGTTCAAGTTATCTAACTTTTCCTAGTCTAAGTCTTATCATTTGTAAATAGGGATGATAATAATAGTGTTTCTATCTCAAAGGGTTATTGTGAGGATTAAATTAATTTGATATATGTAAAGCACTTAGAATAGTGTCTGACACATTGTTAGCTATGATAATTATTATTGTACTCCTCTCCCTAGAAGTATTAATGGAATCTAAGTCATCTATGAAGCCTAAAGTTGTCAGGTGTACAAGAAGCAGCAGATAGCATGATTCTTAGATGTGCTTTGCTTTGAGCACCAAAATATTCTTTACACGGGGGCAAACATTATCCCCATGCTTGGGAACAAAGTCCTATTTGTTTCTTAACCTGGTGGTGATATATCAGTATTATCAGAAAAACAAAATAAAACAGAATTTTAACAGAGTGATCTTAGCTAGAAAGTAATTATTCCATTAAACAAGGGATACCTATGCAGCGTTAACACATATCAATTTATATTTGAGCACTTTGAGAGCAGAGCTGCTTTTTTCCCCTCTTTTTATAAAATTAAATTTATTGGGATGACATTGGTTAATAAAGTTATATATGTTTCAAGTCTATAATATATCACCTGTATATTGCATTATGTGTTCACCACCCAAAGTCAAATCTCTTTCCATCACCATATATTTGACCCCCTTTATCCTTTTCTACCTTCCTCCTCCTCCTTTTTCCTCTGATAACTGCTATACTGTTGTTCGTGTCTGTGAGTTTTTGTTTGTCTTGTCCATTTGTTGCTTTCAGTTTTACGTCCCACATATGAGTGAAATCATATTCAGTTTTACATCCCACATATGACTGAAATCATATGGTTCTCGACTTTTTTATCTGACTTATTTTGCTTTAGCATGATATTCTCAAGATCCATTCATGTTGTTGCAAGTGGCAGTATTTCATCTTTTCTTATGGCTGAGTAATATTCCATTGTATATATGTACCACATTTTCTTTATCCAATCATCTATCGAAGGGCACTTCAGTTGTTTCCATGTCTTGACCACTGTGAATAATGCCGCAGTGAACATCAGGGTACATATATCTTTACAGAAAAATGTTTTCAAATTTGGAGATAGATACCCAAACTAGTCTTAGTTTTTTGAGGAACTGTCATGCTGTTTTCTAGAGTGGCTGCACCAGTTTGCACTCCTGCTCGCAGTGCTTGAGGATTAGAGCTGCTTTTTAATAACGTGTTATAACATCAAAGTTCTATAAATATTAGGATTTTTTTCCCTCTAGAATAGGAAAGGTATTTTTTTTTTCTTTTGAAACATATTACACTGGGATTACTTTATTTTATTTCTTTCCTTTTAAGTGTTAGGCACCATCATGACCAAGAAACATTTCCTCAACAATATGCCACTCTCTGTGTTCCCATACTATACCTCTCTGGGCACAGCTTTATATGGAAAAGAAAAGCCTCTGATCAAGCTTCCAGCACCAATTAGAGAATCTCTGGATCTTCCGTTATGGAAGTTCTTGCACAAAAAGAATCACCTGATTGAAGAGATAAATGAAGAAATGAGACATTGTCACTGTGAGTTAATGTGGTCTCAACTCAATGGCGAAGTTACCATCAGACCTGAGGCCACCTTAGTCCATCAAGGAAGACTAAGAATCAAGAACTGGAAGAAAGATGTTTTGACAGCATTCTCTGGCATCAGGTCTAGATATAAAGTTATGCCATTTAAAGCGGATCCAAAAGTGTGGGATACCATAAAAAACGATTTAGAAGATGACGGGATTTTGATCGAGTTTGATACATTTATGGGGATTGTAACCTTAGTGGGGAAATCAGAGGATGTACAAAACATTGAGCCAAAAATCAAAGAATTAATTAAAAACGCCACTGAAAAAATTAAAAGAGAAGAGCAAAGTGTGAAGGAGAAAGTGGCCATTTCCCCAGGAAAGTATTCTCTTTTACGCCACAGTGGTATGCAGGAGCATTTCCACATGGAGTGCCCAGAGGTGGAAATTTCTTATGATGAAGCCACTCAACACATGTGCTTCAAAGGACTCAGTGCAGATGTGTATAAATTAAAGTGTAAAATCCAGGAAAAGGTTTACAACATGGACCAGAAAAACATTGAGCTTCCTCCTCAGGTTTTCCAGTTTTTGCAACAGGTTGACTGTGCAGAATTCTCTAAGTCTCTTTTTATAGCAGAGAAAATTCTTGCAAGTTATGACCTAAAGGGTACAACTGTTCTCTTAACCGGCTGTTCTTCTGAAGTCCTATTAAAAGCTGAAAAGCAAATGGTCAGTGCCTTAAATTTTAAGTCAATAGACATTGAGGACAGGGAATTTCTTAACAGCAGAAAAAAAAGAGTGCACACAATTTGCATAAGAAATATAATTCTTCCTCAATGACCGTAATAATCAATGAGTTTATCTCAGAAACCACAGCTGTGGTCATCATCGCAGGCTGTACGAGAGAAGTAAATGACATCTACAGCTTGCTTTTTGACTTTGTGGAAAAACACATGAGAATTGAGAGATTGATGGAAGTAAAGCCTCCCTTAGTTATTGATTATTTAAAGGCAGAGAAGCTATTCTTGCAAAGGATAAAGAAGATAAATGTAATTGTAAATTTCAATCCCGAAGATAAACAAAAAGGCATTTTACTAATTGGCTCAAAGACAAAAGTCCTGGAGGGAATGAATATCATCAGGCAAGCCCAGGATTCAGTTTGTATTAAAAGCATCAATATTGATAAGCCAGGAGCCAGCCAGATCTTCCAGGATAAAGCAGGGTACTATAAAAGTCAGGTCAAACAGTTTTTTGGTTGTTTTATTCAACTACAGAAGAATGAAGGAAAAGAGGAGGGAGGCGGCACTGGCGGGCAGAAGTGCTCCACTCAGGTGGACTTGGCCCCTGGAGTCTCACTGATTGTACAGCTGGGTGACTTGACACGGTTTCCTGTCGAAGTGGTGGTAAATTCAGCAAATGAGGACCTCCGGCTGAGTGGTGGTCTCGCCGCAGCTCTTTCGAAAGCAGCTGGCCCTGAGCTCCAGGAAGACTGTGACAAGATAGTGAAGGAAAGGGGCAAGATCCTTCCTGGCCGTGCCACCATCTCAAAAGCAGGAAGGCTCCCATACCATCATGTGATCCATGCAGTAGGTCCCAAGTGGAAGAAGGATGATGCCCGGTGTTGTATGCTCCTGTTACAGCATGCCGTGGAACAAAGTCTCATTTTGGCTGAACATCACCAATACCAATCCATAGCCATCCCTGCCATTAGCTCCGGGATCTTTGGTTTTCCCTTACTCCAGTGTGTGGAGGCCATCGTTTTGGCCATCAAAGAAAACTTCCAAGGTAAGAGCGATGGACGCACCTTGAAAAAGGTTTACCTTGTGGATGCAGCTGAGAAGACTGTTGAGGCCTTTGCTGAAACTGTGAAATCTGTATTTAAAAACACCCTGCCTGGTACTGCTTCCTTGCCCAGTTTACCAGCAGCAGTTCAGCCCGGCTCGAGAGAAGATCTTGAAAACAGACGAGTGCTCCCGTGCCCGGGAGGCCTGAGGATCCTGTTGTTGAAAGCAGATGTGCAGAATGCTACGGTGAGTGTCCCTACTTACAGAACACCCACCAAGGTGCTGGGACTCCAGTTAGTCTGTTGCCAAAGAAAGATTAGGGTCAAGGGGAGAATCAGAGGAGAGAATCCCAGGCCCTCCTTCCTGGCCTGGACACAGGTTTCTGTAGAAAATTGGGCTACTTTACCACAGCATCTAAAGAGAGAGATTGGCCAGTTATGTGTGGGAATTGGAAGTGTATTCAGGTCACTAGGTTTCCAGTAAATGTGAAAAGTCACAATAATACCTTTACAAGGCCCTCTATACTTTTTTGGTGCCTTCACACTTGTCAGATTTTGAAGAATCGAAGGTTAATTACCTGTCAAATTCTGATAGCAGATACAGAAAAATAAGAGCATAGGTTGGGAACAGAGAACAGGAATCTTATCAGTGGAACTGAACCAGGATGAGAAAGGGGGCCCAAGACTGAGGGACCATCAGCCCCCAACACCAGTAAGAAAATGTGGGAAGGAAAGTAGAGAATGGACCTGAGAAGGGTCTGGGTAATATGTGGGGACAATTCTTGTAGGTCTGCTGGGTGGGTGGTGGCGGGGGGTATGACATGTTTTTAAAATATGTATTTAACAACCTTTTATACAAGCTCTAACTAATGGGAATAGCAGCCCTGGAAGCCCCTGCTGTGCCAGCTGTTACTTCTTTAATTTGGGTATTGTGGGCAGGCTTGGGGAGGGGAATCCTAGGGAAGGCCATTTGCATACTTTCTTTGGAGAAATGTCTATTCAGATCTTTTGCCCGCTTTTAAATCAGGTTACCTTTTTATTAGTGAATTTTAAGAGTTCTTTATATATTCTGGATACAGGTCCCTTACCAGATATATGATTTGCAAATACTTTCTCCCATTATGTGGGTCATCTCTTTATATAATAAACTTAAATAATAATTACAAGAATAATAGCTAACATTAATTATTTAGATGTACCAGGCACTATGCTAAGTGCTTGGCAAGCATTTTCTCATTCAATGCTATGAGGTAGATCCCAGGATTATTATTATTCTCATTTCACAGCTGTGGAAATGAGACTTAGAGGGATTAAATAATTTGCCCACATCCCACAGCCAACAAACGGTAGAGCGAGGATTAGAATATTTGTTCAGGGTCCTAACCATTGCACTATTTCAAAACATTAAAATAATTTTATTTCTCGTTTTAAAAACCAAACAAATAAACAGAAAATTTTGACTGAGAGTTGGTAATTGGAATGAGTTCCATTTCTTGTCCAACTTGAGCACTGAATAGTAAGACATTGCTTTCATTCCTTTTGTTCCCATAGATGTTTGGCTTTTGATGCCACAGTATCTGCTGTGCATTTGCTCCTTGGTGGCCTATGCAGAGCAACTTTGAAAGTCATTTGGTCACATTCCATCTCCTCTCTTCAACTTGCATTCTAATGTAGCCAATTAATCTGCTCACATTAACTATCCTGCTG